TTTTTGGTTTTTTGAGACAGGGTCTCCCTGTAGCCCCAGCTGTCCTGGAACTCACTATGTAGGCCAGGCCGGCCTTGAACTCACAGAGATCTGCCTGCCTCTGCCTCCCAAGTGCTGGGACTACAGGCGTGCGCCACCACACCTGGCTCTAGTACTTTTTTACTTAGCCTTAGCCTAGGTTTAAGAAAATAGAGGTGTCAGCAACATGCCTCAGGCTGCTGTCTCACTTTGGTAAACCACTGCTATGACTAGGAACACACTTTCCAGGTTGTCAGACTTCTGCTCAAGTAGCCTCCCATCTTGAAGGCAGCAGCTGCCTTTGCTGAGGCCCATTAAGTGGTTGCCTGATGATTTGGACCAGGAACCTGTGCAAGGATGAGAGCTCTTACCCTGCCAGCTGTCCTCAGACTTAGGAACAGTGTACATATAGGGGCTCTAGCAGTAAGATTTGGGTCCCAAGAAACTCTAGGAAGGGCAGGGGTCTACTCCTCTACTTCCTCTGAAGAAGCATTTATAGAGGGATTTTCCACAGGTGAGTCTGGTAGAGGAGCAAGAACAACAGGGTAACTAGAGATGGTAATGGTGGCACAGAATCCAGGAGAATGGGCAGGCCTGGCCAGGCAGGTACTATGAGTGCCTCATGGAAAGCACTCTTTAGCCACCTAGGAGAGAGCAAAGGGATGAGATCTCCTTGCCCTATGCTGACCGAATTCACAGTCCTACTGATTGTGTTAGCTTCCACATTCCCTCAAAACATAAGCAAGAAGCTACTAAGTAAGGTTTACTTTGGTGAAAACAGTTCTTACAGCTTGAATCCACACAGAAATGAACTGCTGCAGCTCTGTTCTAGCCTGAGTGGACAACTCTAAGATGCGCTCCCTGTGCTCGTGGCTGGTGTAGGCAGAATCAGTAAAGTCCTCTGTGCGCTCCAAGATGACTTCCAGTGTGGTAGAAAGGTTCTCCTTGGACTGAAAATAAGGATTCTCCCGAAGACCTTCCATATTCATCTGAGAGCAAAAGGGACATCCATTCATGTAAGTGTTCCCACCTGAGCTTCAGTTTCTAATACTGTCCTGGAAAACATTAATAAATTCTGTCCCAGGCTGAGGAGAAATGCAATCTCCATCCAATGATTCTCTAGATTCTCCAGTAACCCAAGAGGATACTGTTCAAGGGTCATCAATAATCATGCAAGGCCTCATTCATAGAGTTGTTAATAAAATGACATTCCCAGACTGAAGGTCAGGTGTCCCTGGAGGACAGGAGAAGGCATCAGATCCCCTGGAGCTGGAGTTACATGTAGTTGTGAGTTGCCTAACATGAGTGCTAGGAACCAAACTTTGGTTCTCTGTAAAAGCAGCAAGTGGGCTTAACCACTAAACTATCTCTCCAGTCCTCTAAAGAATCACTCTAAATTACATAAAATATGGGCACTATACATAACAATTGTTTTTAAATGGAAAGAAATAAAAGCAAAATATATTGTTTATTCTTACCTTCAATTCTTTCATTCCAGTAAAAATGCTGATAGATGAAATATCAGTCTCTCTGTTTGGTTTACAGTCAGTCACGATTTCAATGACCTTATCCAGTGCCACTGTCATTCTGTCAAACACTCCTGCTTTGTTTTTATGGGCAGAGTCACAGCTGGGATGCCTGAGACACGTCTTCAGAACAGTTGAGTTTTTTACATTTTAATATCAATTTGCATCATAACACATGCAAATCTTACAGAGAACATGCCATGCTAATAAAAATGGTTCTTTACCCAAATCTCCTGGGTCCCTGGCTCCCCCAGCTGCCTCTCCTCACTAAGATGGAAGCAGGATGAGTAAAAAGCGACAGCAAGGTTAAGTGAGAGCAGAGAGCAAGGCATCGTCATACTTCAACAGGAAGTTCATCTTGATTTCAGGAAGGAAACAGCCCTGTTTATTATGCTAAAGTATTTCAAGGGTTCCCTTATACATTTGAGAGCTAAAAGGAGTGAGGGCTGACAGGAAGACAGACACTGGCTGCTTCTTTGCCCTTTAAAAAAGGATGCAAATAAAGGACAACTCAAGGTCCTGACACAGGTAGAGCATTCTGTCTCTGTTCTTGTGGCGTCACTAATGCCAGCACAGAAGTAAATACTCTCAGAAGAAAACACGACTTTGAACAAACTGCAAATGAGGTGTTTACCAGGTCATCCTTGAACCATATCAATCAGTTGGCCAACGGCCACTTAGACATACAAGCTCTTGCCTCGATATTTTATCAAGTAGAAACATAAATGAGAGGCATGAATTTACTAAACAAACAGAGGACTGATTGCAGCTCAAACTCATTGCTGCTTAACCAATCCAAATTTGCCCAGGTTTTAGATCCTGTGCACTGACCTTGCAGGGGCCTGGCAAACCTATAGGCCATGATCATGCCTGACAGGTCTCTGTTCACAATACATGATTCCATCTCTTCTGTCTAGCTGTGGAATCAAAGTGGACCCATGGATTCATGACTCTTTGGAGCTTGGGAGGAAAGATTAGCATTCTTGCTAATAATAACAGATCTGGCTCTTCAGGTCTTGGTCCTAAGTTAATACTTTCCTCTCTTCAAAAACATCAAATAGGGCTTGGGGTGCAGTTCAGTGGTAGAGTACATGCTTAGCATGCACAAGGTCCTGAATTCAATCCTTAGCACATGAAAAAGAATAAAATGAAAATGTAAAATTCCTAAATTAGATGCATTTAATCACTTTCCTAATCATTAACTTAAAACAAAGAGAAACAGTAGCCTCTTACCTTTGAGGCTGTGAGGAGCATCATTGTGCCCTTTTCAAGAACGGCCCTTGCTGCTGCCATTTTGGCCTTTTTCTTTTCATCTTTCAAATCCTAAAGATGAAATTAAATCACTGAGTCAGCTATGACTATATATGCAATCTGATCTTCTGAAAAATCAATTATTCAACAATAATAATGTTCAAAGTACAGTAAGACGATTGGGTGAGGAGAATGTTTGTAAACTGTCATTGCTTCGGTGTAAATGCAGTCCCACCTTTGCCCAGTCTCACTCTCTGAGTTCTCATTTACCTGCCATCATGTTTCTGTTCTATAGTCTGTCTCCACGCACCCCGTCTCAAACAGAAGCTCCACAGGGCAGAGCTTTGGCCTCTTTTACCTAGTGTTATGTCCCTAAGACCTAGACTACTCTGATTCCCAGTAAGTAGGTCAGTCTCTTCTGGGTAGGATGAAGGAGGCTCCTGATGGCTATTTTCAGCACATTCTAGACAAACTAAGGAAGAAAGCATTGGAACTCAGGATGCAAACATTCCAGCAGTGATCTGGGACAACACTCACCAAACACCAAGGTGTGAAAGTGGCTGCTTGTTAAGCAAGGACCCTATATCTAACGAGTTAAAATTTAAAATCAGATACCTTTCTAGCCATAGAGTCCAACTTTCAGAACCCTGGGTCATAGTCTTACTAGATTTGAGAAAAAAAATATTCTTTATACCAATTTGTTTTTCTTTCTCTTTGAGGCAGACTTGCTATTCAGCACAGGCTTTTCTGAAAGTCACTATGCAGCCCAGTCTGCCTTAGAAGTCACTATGAATCCTGGAGTAGCCTGAAACTCATAGTAATCCTCCTGCCTTAGTCCTAAGTGCTGGGATTACAGGAGTGAGCCATCAGGCCTGGCTCAATATCAGATTTCTAACTAGTTTTCCAGTCATGTCCAGAAGCACTGCTGGATCCAGCAGAAAGCACACCCAGAAGGTGCCGTTCACACTTTGGCATGAGTCATACCCAGCTTGCTCAAGAGATCTAGAAAATGTTAGATGATAAACCGTCATTATAGAAATGCTTATGCTAAGTTTTTGTAGGGGAAGAGTGAGAAAGATGAGGAAGATAATGAGAAGATAAAAGGAAAAGAAACTAGGTTATTTCGTAAAGAATAAAGATGGCAGAGAAGAAAATGAAACACAAAGGTGCCTGTACAGACAGCTTTGAGAAAGAAGATTATCACATGCATTCATTTATTTTGTGCACCTATGCATGGGAGGGCACATGTGTGGAAGGCAGAAGACAACCTGAAGGAGTCAGTTACCTGCTTTTACTTGTGGGCTACAGGGATCAAACTCAGGTGCCTTTATCCGCTGAACCATCTTGCTAGCCCATTATGCAGAGAGCTTTATCAGAGACTAACACCATTCCCCAGCCTGTGGCTTTCTAGGCTAATACCTATCTCCCAACTCTAGTGGCAACCAGGAAAGTCCATGTCCAAAACTAAGGGAGCAGTTTAAGGGAGAATACTGACAAGCATGTCAAGAAATGATCAGTTATGACACACTCAGCTAGCTGACAGGATGGAGCCATAAACACCATGATGAGGATAAGTCTATTCTGGACATGCTGTGGTCTTCCACTTCCCTAAGCATAGAACCCATGGATCTGAATTGGGAAACAGATCCTTGAAGAACTGATATCATGTTACAGTTGAAGAACTATAGAATTTAGGAGTAGACTTAACCAAATTCAATCTGCTGGCAGAGTGACCTTAAGAAAGCTTACTACCATCTCAGGTTCAGTTCCTTTATGTGTAGAGCAGTCATAACAATACCCAATTTATAGGGATGCTTTGAGAATTAAATACAATCATGTATATGAAGTTATCTAACATACAGTGTAGCCTATACAAATAAAATGATGCATATGTCGTTACTATTAATCTAATGTAAGAAAAACAGAACTCTATAACAAAATACTTTAAAATTACACATGACAGCTTATTTGCCTAAACCCAATTAGAGGAGGAAAATGGAAAGCTCCATAAAAGAAAAAGCACTCATACTGGGCCTCCTCAGAAGGAGACTTACCAGTAGAACATATTTAATTGTCATATGTGTACAAAAAAGGCATTATCCATTTACTAACTACCCTGACTTATTTATAAAGGGCTTTCAAGACATATGTTATAGCTTTAGTAAACAAAGAAGGCAGATCAAGTGATTACAAAGATCACATACCACCATCCAAAATAAAGGTACGCATGTATCTGAAGACTCTTCAGTGTGGGAAATACATACATTTTGTCTATCTCCAGTTAGATGTGCAAACTCCACCATTTCATTTCCAAACTGGCTAAATATTTGGACAAACTCTTGAAAGCTATTCACTTTCTCCAGTCTTTCCATAGTTGCAAGAACCTGAAACACAGAAAATACTTGATTGTTGGGTGATAAACACGAAAGAGATAAGAGATGGAGACTCTCAAGGCTGAAGAGAGTAAATGGAGAAAAAGGAAAGTTTAAATTCTAGGGAAAAGCTGAGAACAACACACACACTCACAGAGAGAAAGAGAGAGAGAGAGAGAGAGAGAGAGAGAGAGAGAGAGCAGTCAGAAAACTGCTTCACCTTTGGAGAGAGAGAGAGAGAGAGAGAGAGAGAGAGAGAGAGAGAGAGAGAACTCCAAGAGAAAAAATTTTTCTGTTTTGCTTTTTTTTTTGTTGGAGGTGGTGGTTTTCATTTTTTGAGACAAGGTCTTACTACACAGCCTTGGCTAGCCTGGAACTTGCTATGTAGAGTAGACTGGGCTCATTCAGAGAGATCTACCTGCCTAGGCCTTGCAAGCATAGAGATTAAAAACATGTACCACTATGCCTTGCCAGATTTTTTTTATTGACTAAGTAGAGCTGGGGATATTTCAGTCGGTACTTGCCTAGCATGTACAAAGCTGATTCCCTCACACTGCATAAAACCAGGTGTAGTGGCACATACATGTAATCCCAGCACCTGGGAGGTAGGGACAGGAAAATCACAAGTTCAAGGTCAGCCTGGGGAAATGGCTCAGTGGATAAAGTAGCTTGCAGGTATGAGGACTAGAGTTCAGATCCCCAGCATCCACATAAGCCCAGGAAGGTGTGGCAGAACATCTGTAAAGCCAGGGCTCAGGAGGCAGAGACAGGGGAACCCCTGGATAAGCTGGCTAGCTAGACTAGACAAACAGGTGAGCTCCAGGCTCGGAGAGGAAACCCTGCCGCAGAAAATATAGTGAGAGTGATTGAGAAAGACACCCAAAGTCAAACTCTGGCCTCAACACATATGTACACACATGCATTCACAAAGGAATAAGCACACACAGTACTTTTTTTTAAAAGAAGTTCAAAGTCAGCTGGGCGTGGTAGTGCACACCTTAGTCCCAGCACTCAGGAGACAGAGGCAGGCAGATCTCTGTGATTTCAAGGCTTGCCTGGTCTACATAGTGATTTCCAGGCCAGCTGGTGCTATAGGGAGACCCTGTCTCAAAAAGACCAAAAAAAAAATAAAAAAAGGTCAAGGTCAGCCTCAATTCTGCAGGGAGTTTGAGATCAGCCTGGGTTAGGGAGTATCTTTAAAAAAGAAAAAGAAAGGACTAAAGAGACAAAAGAAGACATTGTCCATACAGCTAAACATGAAGACACAAACAACTGCAGAACAATTATCATTGCTGTGCTTGCACACGGTTTAAGATTGTGCCCCCACAGTTCCTGTGCTGGAAACTTAGTCCCCAGCATAACATTCATGTGAGAGCTAGGGGGACATTTATGAGGTGGAGCCTACTAAAAGTATGTAAGTCACTGGAGGTGTTGCCTTCAGAGGTGATTAATACAAGCCCTCATGGAGCCTTGAGAGTTACTATAAAAGCAACAAGATAGCCAACGTTCATGCCTAACATTCTAGCTCTCAGGAGACTGTGACAGATAGATCACCATGAGTTCAAGGCAGAACCAGGCTATAGGACTGCATAGTGAGTTAGAAGCCAGTCTAAGCTACACAGAGAGACTTGCTGAAAATAATTAAAAAAAAAAAAATTTGAGCCTGGCATGGTGGCACATGCCATTAATCTCAGCACTCTGGAGGCAGAGGCAGGCAGATCTCTTATTTTGATATATCACAGTGAAAGATTTATCGTCCTCTTTTTTTTTTTTTTTTTTTTTTTTTAAAAAAAAAAAAAAAAAAAAAAAAAAAAAAATCTAAAGGACAAGACCCCGTTGGACATGATGGCACACATCTGTAATCCTAGTGCTCAGATGTCTGAGGCAGTAGAATCACAAGTGCGAGAGACCAATCTAGGTTACACAGAGAGAAGAATACAAGACTGGTCCTTCCCCATCTTCCAGTTTTGCCATGTGATCTCTCTCAAATGTCCAACCACTGTTTTGATACCATCCACCACATGCTCTCATCAGAGGCTGAAGAGACAAGGCTGTCTGACCTGGATCTTGGAACTTGAGCCTCCAAAAGTGTAAGCTAAATAAATCTCTTTTCTTTATAAAATACTTAGCACCTTAGACATTTTGATACAGCAATAGAAAGTTGACTAATATAGTAATCAGAGCTTTAGAAAACTAAGAAGGGAGTGAGGAGAAAAGACAAACTGTATAGGTCACTGAACCAGAATTGGAGGAACCCCAGTTTCTGAGGGAAATGGAGGGGTGGAGTGAAGAGTAGAAACAGGTTTTAAGAATTAATGAGAAAACAGTTTGGATCAGTCAGGAATTGCCATGTTGAATAAATTAATTACCAAGAAGCTTCAGGCAGTGGGGAATGAATCTGTAGTAGTCAGTAGATAATGCTTTGTTCTCTTGACATAAGAAATAAAGTAAATAAATGTGGAACACATTTTTCAATAGTTTTTTTTTCTAAAATAACTACTGAATTTTAGTCAGATCAAGATAGGTTAAGAAAACACAGATATCCTGTGTTTACTCATTTTTAATGAGGATTTGGCATGTTAACCTGCTCAGGAAGTGCAGGCCACTCACACAGATATGGTCAATCACAGGTTGAGCATGGCCTCCACCTTTCAAACACAGGAAGGTTGATCTTTCCTCCCAGCACTCTCTCCAATTTCTTTTTCCTTTAAACTTACACTTTTTGATTCACTTAACATTTATCAGTGGGTTTTACCTGAAAATCCTGCTGAAACCATCTGTTCCCTGGCTGGTTTGATTGCCTTCCTTTTTGCCTAGGGAACTATCCATGGAAAGCTAGAATTGCATGTGCCCTGGGTTTCTCATGACCACCATCTAAGGATGTCAAGAGTTTAGATTCATTCTTTGGGTTTTGTAATTTTTTAGAAATATTTAAGGACTCTCAATCAGGCATGGTAGCACAGCACACCTTTAGTTCTAGCACACAGGCAACAGAGGCAGGCAGATCTCTATGAGTTTGAAGCTAGCCTGGTCTATATAGTGAGCTCCAGGCCAGCTGAGGCTACAGGGAGACCTTGTTTAAAAAAAAAGAAAAACAGAAAGAAATATTTAAGGCTTCTGTATATGGAAACTTTACAGCTGTGGATAGTTTTCTCTTTTTTTGAGACAGGTCTCATATAGCCCAGGCTAGTCTCAAACTAAAGATGTAGCTGAGGCTGGCCTTGATCTCTTGATCCTCCTTTCCCCACCTCCAGAGTGCTGGGATTACTTGTGTGTAACACCCATCATATTTTGGTTTTATGTGGTGCTGGACTTTTGAACCCAGGGTTTAATGCACACTTTGTAAGCAGTCTACCAACTGGGATACATCCAATGCCCAAAAGATTTCAATTTACATTTAGTTATAAATTGTTACTCTTGGACTTGGAAAATAGAGTAGTAAAGTAAGGCGAAAAGCTGGGTGTGGAGGTGCACACCTTTGACCCCAGCCTGGGGAAAGTGAAGGTAGGTGATTTCTGTGATAGTGAGGCCAGCCTGTTCTGAGACAACTGGAGCTAATTATAGAGACCCTGTCTCAAAAACAAACAAAAAAAAAAATCACAGGAATGTAACCTTTGAAATGCAATTTTATAATCTCTCCCACCTTATAACTTTTGTTTTATAACAAAGGCTTGGCTGCATTGTTGGAACTTAATTGCTCCAGGCAGTGACCACTTTCCCCCTTTCATTCATATCCTCTGCACAGATTCTTTTAAAACTAGTCAATTCAAAAGACTGTGAAGTTAGACCCCAGAAAATGGGGAAAACACATAGTACTCTTGCATTAGGATAAAAACCTTTGAAGTTTCCTGCTCCATGTCTTGCTCACTGCCTGAATGAGACAACACACCCTTTTGCAAAACTAAAAGCTGCCTTGCCTAGTTACTTTATCTGCCTTTTCTTTGTGTGGTATCAGTGGGGTCCTCAGACCTTACGTTTTATTTTATTTCTAACATGAAGGACTCAGGATATTTATTAACTAGGTCTCCTGAGCACACATATTCTGGTACTCAGCTAATTCTTCCCAAATGATACATATTTAAGGTTTTTAGCAGTAAGTTTCAATAAGTAGACAATGATGTTTTTTACATAAAACATTTGCATTTAAAGGTTCAGGTCCAGTAAATTAGAAATGAAAGCTTATAGAAGAAGCACTACTTTTCTTTTTTTTAATGTATATTAAAAAAATTTTTTTTTGTATGAGTATTACCTGCACATGTGTAAGTATACCCATGTCATGCAATGCCCGAGGAGGTCAGAAAAGGGAGTGGGATTCCTCTGGAACTGGAGTTACAGACAGCTGTTAGTCATTATGTAGATACTGGGAACCGAACCTGGGTTCTCTACAAGAGCAGCCAGTGCTCCTAACTGCTGAGTCATCTATCCATCCCCAGAAGCACTCCTTTTAAACTATAGGCAATGATTATCATAAACAGTTATAACTGACAAGCATTGCCAAATTATCTGAAATTAACCTAAACGATTTTGAATGACAAGAGACACAAGTACAGCCACTCCAGAAAAATGAGTACCTTATTTCTTGATGTTATTATCTGCTTGATGACAACTTGGTCTGCCAGTAGCAACACCTTTGTAACTGAAGAAAGAAGAAGTCTTGCAGCCTTTATGACTCCAGTTTTGTCCGTGAAAATTGTGACGTGGCTGTCTGATACTGGCTGCTTCAAGCTGGTTACATCTGTGAGTGCTGCAATTGTCTCTCCTAACAAGAAACAAGGAACATCACAATGGGAATAAGACACTTAAAGAAAATGCTACACTTTGATCTTTAATATAACATCTATGAAAACTTGGCTCTTGAATCTTCAGGAGTAAGAAACTGTATTAGTTAGTTTTTTGTTGCTGTGATAAAACACCATAACCAAGGGAATTTACAGGAAGAAGAGTTTATTTGAGCTCACAGTTCCAGGTTCGAGGGAGATTAGAGGGAGGGAGGCAGGGTGAGGTAGCTGGAGCAGGAGCAGAAAGCTAAGCACTCACATCTTCAAGCAGGCAAGGGAGGCAGAGAGCAACTGGGGATCCAGAAGGCTTAAGAACTCTCTAAGCCCGTCCCCAGTGACTAGCTTCCTCCAGCAAGTCCACACCTTCTAAGACCTCCCAAAACAGTGCCACCAACTGGGGACAAAATGTCCCAATACTTGCAGCCTATAGGAGACATTCTCATTCAAACCATCACAAACACTGACCAAAACCAACTTGGGGAAGAAAGGGTTTATTTACAGTATAGTTCATCATCAAGTGAAGTCAAGGCAGGAACTCAGGGCAGGAACCTGGAGCGCAAACCATGGAAGAATGCTGCTTACTAGCTTGCTTCCCTGGCCCATGCTCAATCTGCTTCCTTATACAAACAGGACCACCTGCTCAGGGGTGGCACTGCCCACAGTAGGCTGGGTCCTCCCACATCACTCAACAATCAATGCCCCACAGACATGACCACAATCCAATGGAGGCAGTTTGCCAGTTGAGGCTCCCTCAACTCAGGTGTGTCAAGTTGACAACTAAAGCTATGCAGCAGAAACAGTCTTGTCTTAATGGCTCCTGTGAAGCTTTCTAGCAAGAGTTTAACACATTCTTCAGGACCAAACTTTGGCTTTGACTCAGAAAAATACAATTTTTCAGAGCTGGAGAGATGGCTCAGTGGTTAAGAGCACTGGCTGTTCTTGAAGAAGACCCATCTTTGAATCCCAGCATCCACATGGCAGCTAACGTACATCCATAACTCCAGTTCCAGGGGATTCAACACCCTCTTCTGTCTCACAAGCATTGTGGACACTGCACAACATGGGTGCACTTATACACATGCAGGCATAACACTCATACACATAAAAATAAATAAGTGAGCCAGGAGTGGTGGGGCACACCTTTAATCCCAGCATTCGGGAGGCAGAGGCAGGCAGATCTCTGTGAGTTCAAGGCCAGCTTGGTCTACATAGTGAGTTCCAGGACAGCCAGGGCTACAGAGTGAGACCCTGTCTAGAAGAAACAACAAAAAATTAACCATGAGAATCACCTAGCATGTTCTTTTCGTGAATGAAGGAATTTCATTTTATTTTTCCTGACAAAACCAAGAGACCCTCCCAGTGTCAGAGCAAGTCAGTGCCAGGGACAGCCCATTTCATGAGAATTGCCAGATGCCTCTGGATAAATAAATAAGTGAAAATAAATTAAAAAATTAAAATAAAAATAACCTCACAATCTAAAAGCTGCCTGCTCTGCAAGACAGAAAAGTCCCAGGGGTCGAGAACCAAAAAACCTAAATCCAGAGCAATGAACAATACAAAAATTCCCAGGCCTGGGCTAGGCTGGGGTGTGCCAGGGGATAAGGAGAGGTCACTGTCCAGCACCACTCCCTAAAGGAGCATGGGTTTAGAGTCCTAAAGAAATACTAGTATCTAGTGACTGATTTTCTCACAAAAGTCCTGATGTCAGTTTTACTACATATACACAATGATGCCTTGGCTGATAGGCAAAGACCCTTAAGTGAATGTAATAATGGCCAGACAATATAGTATGAAATAGTTAAAATCAGTGCTTGGAATGATCAATCTTTTTGGGGCATATAAAACAGACTGGAAAGGACAGACTTAGAAAGGCAACTCTTCTGTTCTTGTTTTATTTTTTACTTTATGTGTCTGAGTGTTTTGCCTGCGTGTATGTAAATGCACCCATGCAGGAAATGCCCACTAAGGCCAGAAGAGGGCACCAGATCCCCTGGAACTGGAGTTACAGATGGTTGTTAGCCGCCATGTTGGTGCTGGGAATCAAACCCCCAGTTCTTTGGAAGAAAATCAAGTGTCTCCAGCTCCAGGCTTCAAAATTTTTTTTTTAATTTTTAAAAATGATTTATTTAATAACAACATACTTAGAAGAAGCATATCATTACAACACAATTGACATATTCAATAACATTTTCCTGAGGTAGGATGCATCTCTTTCAAATTTGGCTGTAAATTTTTAGGTTTACAGTTGAATTATTACAGTTATACAATATTGTACTCAGTATAAACCCTATAAGACATAAATTAAATGATGTTTTAACCTTTAAAAAGATCCTCGATTTCATTATTAAAATACACACTTTCATACAGAAAAAATCATTAATACAATTGACACTA